GATTTGAAGCGCGTGGCGGTTAATTGTTGTTGTTTTTTTTGCGATGCGTGTGACAACTCTCACGACTCTGTCATATGTCGATGTCATGAATGTCGTCATGTCTTTTGTGGGACACAAATGTCGTGCGTGTCATGCAGTGTCCTTGTCTGCGTTGCACTTGTTCTTGTTCTTCGTATTGGCTTCACGACATGCAATAGACATGCGTTGATCACGGATTGAGAGAATGCATGACGGGATGGTACAGAAGCATGTTGCACATGTCATCCCACCACAACAGCACACGAAACCGATCATGGAAACTGAAATGAAGATATGCACCAAAAAACGATAAAGATAAACAACATTTCCACAGATGGATAGCAAAAAATATATATATATATAAAATAAAAAAATAAAAAAACAACAACCATGTTTCCCATCGCGCAACACCGTTCATCACAAACGATTTGAAGACAGGAAAAATATATAAAAGAAAAAAAGTCCTAACGACGACGACACACACTGGCAAAACAAAAGGTTCTTCCAATCTTTAAATTTCGCACAACTGTGCGAACCAGGTAGCCATCAACAACATGAAAACGATAATGTGAACTCGTCGACGACAATCATGCCGCCGTTCGAACGACCAACCAACCACGAGCATGACGACCATGGACATGGACCACGTAATAACTCCAGCCGCCTACCGATCGAACCACCCCGTGTGCACCACCTCCATACCGCACGGTCCTACATCAAAGCTAGGCGGTCTCGCAGTGCATCCCTCAACAATTCACCTTCCACGTTTGCGCACCATCCCCGCCCGCGTGCGCCGTTCCCCACAATGCCCAAGTCCACTCTACGCCGAACGTCGTTCGCATCCACCTCCCACAAAAGGTTCTCGTCGAAGTCGATCCCCGCGTCCAGGAGGATATTGTGGAGAGTGCAGACAACCACGAATTGTTGTGGCAAGGTCTCTAGGTTCGTCTTATGGGTGCGCAAGAACAGACGCCACATGCACTTGAGTCGGCCGAATGCCCTCTCCACACACCCTCGTGCCACCTTTTGCCGCGTGTCGAAGCGCTCCTCGTCAGCACCTTGGTCGATTCCTCCGTACGGCGACACAATCCACGGACAGGCAACTAGATAACCGTTGTCGCCCAACAAGTAGCCTCGCGTGACGACACCGTGCGGCAGATTCTTTGGAGTTGCGTCGAACAGCTCGCCACTTTCTGCACGCCTAAACAACTGGGAATTGTGCAGGACACGGACGTCGTGCACACTTACAGGGTATCCCACGTGGACGTCGAGGATCCGCAAATCCAAATCCACAACTACTTGCGCCTGCACGAAGAACTTTTGTTTGCGGTCGTAGTAGTTCTCGGAAGGTGCGTCGGCGGGCTTGTCAATGTAGATGTGTGTACAGTCGATAGCGCCGAAGCAGTTTGGGAAACCCTTCTCACAGAAAGCGCGCAGAATCTGCGCACGTCTCCAAGATGCCAACGCTGTTATACAATGGCACAGAAGACGAACACGCGTCCGCTGCTCCACGCTTCTAAAGGACGGTACGCACGCTGGAGGCGAACGTGCGGCTCACACGATCATGCGCACACTCCTCGCAAGTTGCGTACACTCGAAAGATGGATTCCCCAAGGTGAATGGCAGGGAGGCGCCGTCTTTTTCAGGTCACACTCGTCGGCAGGGAGGCGCCGTCTTTTTCACGGCGCACACGTCCCCGAGAATTCGAATTCAAAATTTGAAGTTTTGGGGAACCGCGCTTTTCACCGATCCGACGACTCCCGCCCAAGGCCCACCGCATTCTGTACCACGGACACCGCCTCGGGATGGACGACATCGGCGGCGCGGCTGAGTATACGCGTATGAAAACGGGCCGCGGGGAACCTTTTAGGACGAGTCCTAAAAGATGATTTTTAGGACTGCATGTAATGACGCCGCACGAAATCCTAAAAAACCTTTAGGACTCGTCCTAAAACTTTTAGGATTCTTTTAGGAGTGCCTAACGAGACCCGAAGGGTCTCGTTAGACACTCCTAAAAATGCCTGTTTTTAGGATTGCGTCCTCGTTGCACACAGTCCGAAAACGAAATTGGAGATCGAAAATGTGAAAACGGCGTTAGGACGAGTCCTAAAAGATTTTGGATTCCCCAGGCAAAATCGTCCTAAATTTTCCAGTAGCCCCCGACCTACTGAAAAATTTAGGATTCCCACGTTTCACGAAGTTGTTGCGTCGCGCGCATGGCACCATCGGCACTCGTCGGTGGTCCAGAAGTGGTCCGTCGAGTCGGTGGTCGGACATTGGAGGTTTTCTGCGGCTCGACACAGGCAACGACCACGCACGGTAGCCGTTGGCAGAGGGGGTGGAGCGCGGAGGGCCGAGCGTCGGCGGGTGGTTGCCCGTACTGGACCGTTGGGTCGCTTGCGAGATGCGGAGTGGGACGTCGACGTGCGCAGGACGACAGACAGAGCCGCTTTGGGCAGCGCGGGCTGCAACGGTCAAATTTCAAAAGGAAGGCGGGCGTGTTCGTCGTCTTCTGTGGTGGTTGTCCGCATATGAAGGTCGAGCGCCCCTGTCCCAGGCATGTCGGAATACACATCTGCAGTGGTCACGTGCGAGGGCGGCTGCAGAGGTGAATTTCATGGCTGACGTGCGGAGGAGATTGCCTCTGCTGGTACTCGCTGTCGTTGTCCTCCTGATTGTTGTCTTCCTCCACGTGTGTTTTTCGTGGCGGTCGTGGAAACAACAACGCAAGAGGAGGGCTTCGACGAGACGGGCGGCAGACGAACGTCTAATGGCAGGCATGCAGGCACGACCGGCTGCTGCCGCAGGTCAGGGACGAGTTCGATCTTCTGCGGCGGAGCCTCGAAGGCGGTACGACCCGTCCATGTACACCCATCTGGAGTCGTGGGACACGCCATTGCCCCCGTCGGACAAGGAGCCAGAGAAGGAAGAACTTTCGACATTGCCTCTCGCTAGCAGCTCGACTCAATTGTGGTCGCAGACGGTGCGAGCAGGCAGGTCGGCTCCCGACGAAGGGGGCGAGTTCACGTCATTGCTGCATCAAGGTTTGCGGGACGACGACGGTGGAGGAGTTGATCTGAGGTTCGGGTTGTGTTCTGGCGGCGGCAGGGAGGCGATCCGTACGTTCATCATCGACGGAGATCGTTCGGCACGTGGCATTGAGCATGGTGGAAGTCTGCATACGGAGCAGTCCACACTTCGTCGCATTGCACCCATGACTGGCGCGGTCGGGCCATCGCCAGCAGGATGGCAACATGGATCGACTGCTCCGTCCGTCGATCGATTGACACGGACCTGGCCTGCACCCCCCGGGGTGGCAGCAGGGCCCCTACGCATGGGCGGTGCACGTTCGCTGATGCCTGCGTGCACAACACCGATCGAATCTGGAGTGAGGGACGAGGGAACGTGCAGAGCGCCGGTACGTCCACGACCCACTGTGGAGAACATAACACGTGGAGTGTCGAACATTCGGGCACACATCGATGGAGGCGAAGACGACGTTGGATTTGGTGACGACGCAGACGAAGGGATAAGGGAAGACGTGGAAGCGGGGGACGACGACGACAACGTTCCAATTTGGCCTTTGGGGAAAACGGCTGGGAGGGGGAGAGGACGCGGCAGAGGTGGTGTTCGTGGTCGATCCGTTGCCCTGCCGATGTGACGTCGCGGACAGCCTGCTGTCCAGTTGTCCTTGCGGATGCCAAATGCTAGGGAACAGGGGATTGACTGAGCAGCGCCAAAGTGACGTCGCGGACGGCCTGCTGTCCAGTTGCCCTGGGCAATCCAAGAGGAACGATTTGGATCATATTCGATTCTTTCTACCTTACCCGTCAACGAAGTGTTACGTTGAAAGTCAATTCTTCGCT